CTCACTGATAATTATGTTCGAATCTTCACTTTTGCTGTACACGTGTCTGTGTCGAACCAAAACCAATGCTATCACCACTTTCAGAGTGACTCATCTCAACTGTTTATATTGAACAAACAAAGGCAAAATAAAAATTTAAGGAAATGCTCTCCGTAAAATTATTTTTAATCTGGTAAAAAATGTGAAATAATTACGTTACGTTTTTTAACATTTTTTTATTCAAGAATGAAAGAACAAAGAATGGAATTTAATTGGAAAACATGATTTTTCAAAAATGTTCTGAAAAATTATCATTAACAGGCTGTTGCTATATCCGGATGTACCTCATTGTCACTAGATATTGACATCAGTTCAGATCTAAAAACAAAAATTTTATGAAATAAAAATAGCTAAAATCATTCAATGAAAAATTCCAAACGGATTCAATCGATTAAAGATAACTTTAAATCAAAAGTTAAACGATATTTATTGATAAATTTCAAGTCAATAACGTGCTTTGAAATAATACAATTGCTTACTTCATAGAATGGAATATTAATAGTACGGCACTTGGGGCAATTCCGTTCTTCTTTCAAACTTTTGTTAGTTTTGGTCCATTCGTGGCTGCATCCTATGCATAGATAGTATGCTACCACATCTTCACCTGCACCCCGATCGCTCATAATGAGTGCTCTATTATTAATGTTCGAAGAGATATTCCTTGGATAAATGATATGGTTGCTGCGATTTTTGCCAGTTGACGTTTTGCGCAATAAATGTCAACTAAATTGTTATTGAGCAAAATTAAAAATGTATAACCCTTTGTATCCACAAAAAAGAAACGTTAATCGGTCGCAAACAAATATTTATTCAAGTTAATCAAAGATAAATGCGACTGGATTCATTCGATAAAAACAAGAAATTGTTTATACTCGTATGCTATATTTTTTTCGAATTTAAATATTCTGTTGAAACTCAAAAGCTAAATTCTTTCTGTATGAAAATTACTGATTCAGATTTTTATGTTTATACTTTCAATAGCATGAAGAAGATAGACAGAGATTGTAAAAATATCATAGCAAATGTTAAAAAAGACGGTTTTTTCGTTATTTCTTTCAATCGCAAGTTATGAAAATCTTTCAAAAAAATTCCCTTTTCTTCAAAATGTCTTTGGTGGTAACCAAAATTATGATAACATAAAACATAGGATGCAAAACGTTTTTTGTGGCATTATCTTTAAATTGGAAACAATTCCAAAGTTAAGATGCATTAAAATTTATAAATTCAAGCAGAATGGATGGAATCTTATTGAAAAACAGAAGATTTCGTATAAAATATCCTTTTTGTCATCAGACAATTGCCAAAGTAAGTACTTCAAAGTATCGTTTGTTGTTAGCATTTCGATATTTTTCAGTGATGCCGTATATGATGACAAAATGAGACAGTAAATCGGCAATATATGAATTTTTCGAATTTATATTACCTGAAATGGATTTAAATCACAGATTATACGATTTACATCGATTGAAAGTAACGTTCGATCTGTTTCATACTCACTTTTTAAAGCTTTTTGTCGGCTTTTTGGTTTATTTGATGACATTTATACTGGGCTATATAAATTCGATGTTGTGCTTTGTAGTTACTAGTTTTTCTAACACAATATGTCTCTTCTTCAAGCTTTATAGCTGAAATGCTAGAGATGAAATAACAAAATGGTTTAAATCGATAGAAAATACTGAAAATCTATTCGAACCAAATATTTTGCAGGTAAGTAAATAAAAACTTTCGCAAATAATAAACATTGCACAATGAATAAGTGTTTACCTGATTGTATGGAGGGTTGAGTTTATGACATATGGGGCACATTATTTTTTGGCCCGTCTTATTGTTTGTTCTGGTGTAATAATAGCCACATTTTTGGCAATGATAATAAGCTTCCCATTTTTCGCGACTACCGCGGTTCGCCTTAGGTTTGATTTCCTCTGATGGTGATGAATTCATCTTACTGGTATCTTTTATTACTTGCTCTTTTTGAAGTAAAATGCGACTAAAATGTTATTGAACAACTCTTCAAATTCATATATCGCTTTGTTTCGAAAAAAGAAATGAAAAAGTGTTGAGATTTCAATGAAACCACACTTTAGTTCGGAAAAGCTGTAAGCAAATATTTATTTAAATTAATCAAAAGATAAATAAAATTGGATTAATTTGTCCATCAATATAATAACAATTGCATGACATTCTTCAAGTCTTCATGTTTATGTGATTTTTTTATATCTGAATTTGTCATACTGTGACTCATTCTTTTTTGGTGATAATTGCATATTGAAACTTTAATGCTTATGCATGCCATTCTAGGGGGTACAGTTAAACAAATATAAATATAGCAAATGCTAAGATTTTTGCTATGAATGACCAATTATTATTAGAAAATGTTGCTTCAAAAATACCTGAATGATCACTTTCAACGAGGGATTTTTAACTTACAAAATTTCTTCGCGTATGAATGTAATAATGAGTTTTAATTTCAAACACAATCAAATAGATTTTCAGAAACAAATTTTTATTCAAATTGTCTTAATATGTTGAAAACAATGTTTTTATCGGACAATTATACCAAGAATAAGACTAAGTTTTCAAATGTCCTTTGTAGCAATTTCTATTTCGGAAAATTTAAGCCATTTCAGTTGTCCATGTGTGTTTGTTGCAATGACCAATCAAATCATCTACGGAAAGGTTTCCTGAAGCATTGTAAAATAGATATAATAACTATTTAAACCGGAAACATAATTTACAATAAAAATTTCAATATTTTGTGTGCGATAAATGTTGAAAAGAATGTAGAACTGTTGTAGAAAGAACAATTTTTCTATTTGTGTGAATAACAAACACCATTACCTGCTCGTACGGAGAATTTAGTTTACGGCATATGGGGCACATCACTCTATGGTCCTTCGTATAAATTAAAATCGAATAATGATTATTGCATTCGCATTGATAGTTCGCAATCCATACTCGTATCTCGCCACTACCACGGTTTTCAATTGGTGATTGATTCATTTTACTGGTGAATTCTTGTGGACTCGATATAAACCTTGTGATTTTTAACAATTTTCTTTCTTCAAATCAAAATCCGACTAAATTGTTACTGAACAATGATTCATTTTGTCGAAAAAGAAATGAAAATGTGCTGAGATTTCAGAACCAACTTTAGCCCGAGCAGTACTTGCGAGGTGCAAACAAATATTTATTTAAATTAATCAAAAGATAACAAAATTGGATTCATTTGTTGACCATTACAATAATAATTGCACGAAATTTACCTTATTTATATATTTCATTTTACTTCGTTAACACAAAAAAGTATTTTCAATGTAAACATATTGGCGAATGACACACTGTTTATGTTACTCTTTGCTTTTTGATAAAAATTCCATATTGAAATTATATTGCTTATGCATGCCATTTTAGGGCAGCTACACAAAAGAAATTTTAGCAATTGCAAGGCGAAGTTTTTTTAAAACTATTTTCTTGAAGCCAATTATTATAAAATGTTGCTTCAAAAATGTCTCACTTACCAGAAGAATAAAAAATATTCATACATGAGTTTTGATATTTCAAACACAATTTAGACACGGTAGTTTTTTTTGAAAAAACTGATAGAAAAACTTTATTCAAACTGTATATGTTAATAACAATGTTTTCATTGGAAAATTATACCAAGCATAAGACTAGGTTAGTAAATATCCTTTGTAGCATATTTTTATTCGGAGATTTTTTAAGCCATTCCAATAGAATCCAATTCGATAAAAAGTTGTTCATGTGTTTTTATGTCAGTGAGGAGATAAATCACCTAAGGGATGTCCTGAAAAATTGAAAAATAGATATTAAACAGGCTTTATTTAAGGCTATATCTTCAATATAAAATTCATTATTCTGTAACCAACACTTTTAAATAATAATTTACCTGATGATACGAATAGTTTATTTTACCGCACAACTTACACCTCTTTCTTTGGTCCTTGTTATAGATGATTGCCGAATAAAAATTACGGCATCTCTCGCATCGATAACATCCTATCCATTTCTCGCGACTGATTGATCTCGGTGATGGATTCATCTTGCTGATAAATTGATAAAAAAAT